AAAAAAAAAATTATATTGATTCGGTCATTTTTAAAAAAGTTATGGCAATTTTAAGTAAAAAAAAATGAAAAAATATCGAAAATTAGCGATTTTTAAATTTGTAATTTTTTGGGGGATTTCCCCTGTTTACGAGGAACGAGGGATTTTTTTTCAATTTTTGAGGGTAATGTCTTCAACTAGATACGATTTGTGATCTTTTGACATATTTTTCATCAAAATCGGTTCAGTGAGAGCTGAGATTGAGCGTATACAGACACAAAAAAAAAAAAAAACACATCATAGTAAAATTAATACCTTCTCAGCTTCGCATCGAAGCTAAAATATTTCTTTATAATATGTTTAACGACTCACCTCACGTAATATATCGTCTTTATTGAAATATTTTGATGGATCAACAATCTAAAAAACATTCATGTTTCATTGTTAATATAACTGTTTTGGTCTCAGAGTGGACTGTATAAATCCGATTACTTTTCACTGTTTAACTAATAAAAACGATATAAAACTTAAACTTTTAACTTTGTTTATATTACTTTATTCTATATACACATGTTGGCGTGCGCGTGGTGCCGTCCTTCACGATGACGAGTTCATCGTTGGACTACTATTAATACAATTAAAGAAACCGGTACGCACTGGACAAACGCGCTTATCATATATCATAATAACATACAAAAGAAAAGAAAACAAAAAAAATGGATCGAACAATAACTACTTTAAAAAGTTAATAAAAATTTAGAACTGTAATTACTATCATATTTGACTATACAAAATTTTATATTAAGACCGAGTTGTATTCAAGGTTTCGCTGATTTATTTTTCACAAGATATCAAAGTATATGAACTTTTACATATTATGTAAGTTAAATAATTTCAATGTATAACAATTATACGTTCTAAGAAATTACAACAAGTTATAAGGAGATTATCAATGATTATTGTAAAATAATAATTGTTGCTGCATACCTTACGTTATTGTATAGTTTATTATTATTATTGTTTGATTAGCAGACGATCGGTTTTTTTCAGCGGAGAAAAAACCAGTCTCCTAATAAATGTCTCACTATGCACATATAGCAAATATTCGTTTAATTAACTTACAGTTAATCGACCTAGGTAGCCTTCTACTCGTTAAAAGAAAAATACAGTCCACATTAGCAAAAATAATTGGTATAAATGTATAAAAAAAAATTATAAGTACTTGAATTGACTTGTTGCAAATCATTTCTTCGTCAAGGCAGGGCTTTCCAGTAGAAAATATGGGTAAGGTAATTACACACATAAAACAAAGGAATATTCCGGAACAAAAATAGAAACCCATTTTTAATGATGATTATAGTTGCAACAGTAATGAAAGTCTAACACTGACTATTTAACTTCAATAATATCAGGTTAACGTAATCAATTATTTTTATTATAAAATTATTTCCGATTTAAAGAACAAATTATTCTATTTTGAATATTTAAAATATAGTAACACATAAATTTATTTTCGAAAAATATATATTTGATATGTAGTCATTTTAAATAATAATTCTATTAATCAAATTTAATTGTATGTTTACTTAAGTTGTACGTCAATAAAAACTACTATCGCAGCTAAATTTTATTTACTATTTTTTAAATAAAATAGAATTTAGTTTGAAAATACCAATTTTTTAAGAAATAATAAGATAATAATAATTTAATATTTAACCAAGTGTGTAATTTATTACTAAAATGTGTTTTAAATTGTATTAGTAATTCTACTGGTATCTATTATCATACCTCTTAATACACTTATTTATAATTAGTGGTTATTTTCATTTTATTATAACAGTAATGACTAATAATTTGTGCTATTGTTAATATAAATCACAATTTTTAAAGCTTTGTACCGTTAAATATAAATTTATTCTTTAAATAGTTGAAAAAATAATAAATCAATATGGAAACTCTTCATTTATTTTAATGTTACAGTTTCAAAAATTTAATAAAATTTTAACTAAACTTAAACACTGGTGGAATAACATAAATTAAATTAGTTTAAAAATAAAATTGTATTTTATAATTTTAAATTTGATAAAATAAAAATTTCATTGAGTAATATAAAATATGATAAAGCAAACATATTTTTTTCAAAAAAATATGTTTCAACTATTCATTTTATTTACTCATTTTCAAATAAAATAAAATATAG